AGAAGAAAAATGGTGACTTTACAAGGAGAACCCTGGCAGGCACCACCTTAACCACTGATCAAATACCAGTGATGCAAAATATTCACACCATCTCCTCCCAATATAATGCACTAGAAGGAACACACATTATGCCTGTGGTATTCTGGCCAGATTTACACATACCCTGTATCTAATCATAAGAAAACATCAAACAAACCCAAATTGGGACATTCTAACAACTCTTCAAAAATTGCAGGATTGTAAAAAGCAAAGAAAAGTTAAACCTGTCCAAATTAAAAGAGACACACAAAATTTCAACCTGGGAACAGAAAAAGGACACATCAGTACACAACTGGTGAAATGTAGTCTGTAGATTAGACATATTATTATCTGTGTTAATTTCCTGATTTTGATCATTGTACTGTAGTTACGTAAAATATTAACATTTGGGGAATCTAGATGACATGCATACAGGAATTGTTTGTGCTATTTTTGGAGTTGGTTTATAAATTAAAAGTTATTCAAACTAAGAAGTTAATAAAATAAAACTCGCCCAAAGCCACAAGTAAATGACAGAGTTAGGGGCAGTCTCTGCCGAGAACCCAAGCCACCTTGTTCACCACACCCTAGGACAATTCAACAGTATTAAGGACTATCTCAGGCATTGAGATTAAAAACTGTTCTTAATGCCTTATACATACTAACTTGCAGGAATTATTAGTACCATCATTGTCATCATCATCATCTTCTTCATGAGGCACAGAGAAGTTAGGAAATACTTCTATTACCATAAATTTACTAAGTAGTAAGACTTAGTGAACACTAGTCTGACTCCAAAGTCCATGATTTCATGTTCTTAACTCATATCCTATAAAACAGATGCTAGGAAAAGGAATAGTAAGAACTCACAAGATCTTTAAAAATTAAAGATGTGATTGTCAACATTTTAAAAATTCAATATAGAATTCAAGAATACCACTGAAGTTAAAGAAATAAAGGGATGATAAAAGAGAGAAGAAATAAACAATATAAAGAATTAATCCAGCTAGTCCAGGATAGAGCTAGTAGGATTCCTAGAAAAAGAAACAGAGAAAATTATTATCAAGGAAATAGAATCAAAATCCCCCAAAGCTCAAGAGAAACAGGAGTATGCAAACTGGAAGGATATACTAGTGCTGACTAAGACAAATGAAAACAGACCCAGACCTAGACACATCCATTCTTGTGAAATTTCAGATACCAGGGATGAAACAGGAGAGCCTAAAACCTTCTGGGGGGAAACAAAAGTCCAGAATTAAAGTAGGTCACCCACAAAACATTAAGAATCAGAGTAAGATTTCTCTTCAGGAATACTGGGTGACAAAACAAAACAAAACAAAAAACATGGTTACCAAAGGAGAGGGGTTAGGGACAGAGGGAGAAGGGGATTCAGGGGCAATATGATGAGCACATATAATACAGGGAGGTCACGGGGAAGGCAGTACAGCATGGAGAAGACAAGTAAGGACTCTGTAGTATCTTACTATGCTGAAGGACAGTGACTGCAATGGGGTGGTGGGGGGACTTGATAATATGGGTGAAGGTTGTAACCACATTGTTGCTCATGTTAAACCTTCGTAAGATTGTGTATCAATGATACCTTAATAAAAAAAGAGAGATAAAGAGAAAACACACACACATACACACACATACACACACACACACAAAATGAAGAACAGCCTTTAACATTTTCAGGAAAAATAATTTCGACCTGGAACTGAATGTCAAATATGAAGACACAATATATTTTTAGACATACTCCCTCATTTTATTTTTAAGAGAAATCTGTGTTGTAACATACATATATTTTTGTTATTTCTTCCTTCAAGAGGTACACCAACAAAATTTTAAAAAGAAAACATGTATGTTTAGAAAACAGCACTCCAAGCCAGACAGCAATGAAGAGATGTCCAAAATTATAGCTGTGCAGCAAATCCAGAGGACAACCAGTTGAAACAGAACAAAAAGATAGATCTAGGATAAAAGAGGGAGTCCACACCATAGTGTGACTGAGAGTTTGGAGAGGAAAATGAGTATATGATAAAGATACATCATGTAAGAAAAAGAAGGGAAGAAAAGAAAACAATTAAAAACTCTAGGGCATACAAAAAGCTACACAATAAAATAGTGATCCAAATGTGAAACAACCAGTCCACATTAGAACAGGAAACCAGTGGGTTTTATGAAGGTAAGTCAAATGGATTGTAAGCAATAAAAAAAAAATGAATAAGAAGCTAGTAGATGTTTTTTCGTTAAGGCATAAGATTCTTCTCATTTTTTTTAAAGTGTCAGAATCACAGGGGAAAATGAATACTTAATTCAAAGTTACAGTCCACACATGTTGCAAACTAAAATGAGCATGATTTTGAGCAACTGGTGGCATTCAAGAGAAGATTATCCATCTGAACATCTCTTCTGAACAGCATAGGAACATGACATTTGAAACAGCTCTACGGTGAACAGTATTTTCCCTACTCACAATAATGCAAAAGCTGAGTGTCAATTTTCAACAACTGGAATCAACCTGCAAACAGAGCATGGAAAACTTAATTTGATTACAGAATAAACAAAAATGTGGTCAACCTTAACAGTGTCAGAATAAAACTACAGCTAACAGAATATGTGAGAGGGGAGAATGGAAAAGAAAGAAAAGGTAGGGATGGGTGAGGGAGAACAAGTACTGCTTCTCCTTATAAGTCCTTTGTTCTACAGGCATTATTTTGAGTAAAAATATCTTAAAATGTTTTAAGGAGGAAGCTGTTACCAGTGGTACATGTCGCAAAGAGATCAAGTGAGAAAGAACTAAATTTGGCCTCTAAGATCACAGGTGACCTTAGAAAGGACTGCTTCAGAACATTGGAACGGAAACTAGAGTGCAGTGGTGGGCTGGGGAATGAACAGGAAAGGAAGACCTGAGGAGGACAATTGTACCTGTCAGAATGCTAAGTCCAGGAGAGAAGAAAAGAAAGGCTGCCAACAAGAGAGATTGGTAAAGGGAAGGTTACTGTTGCTATTTTTATTTATATGGGAAAAAACTTGAGCATGTTTTTTACTTGATTGAGGTGAAGAAGTGATGACAGGTGTTGAAATCCAGGGTAGAGATGAAGGAATCAGCCTTGTACGGAAAGAAGGAATATCTATTCTTCTGAAAAGGAGGAATGAGGTAGGCATGGTCCTAGATGGGAAGGCAGAAAGCTAAAGTGAGATCCTGATCCTGCTACGGCAGGACTGTGGCAGCTTCTGTCCCCTAAGGAAGTAGACTTTGTCCATTCCCAGTCTGCTCCAAGTTAGAATTTTGAAAATATAAAAATTAGCTGAGATCAGAGTTGATAGGCCATCCAAACCTAGGTAATAATGGTAAAATACGCGTGCCAAAATCAGTACTTTAAATGTTGGGGTACGAATTAAGATCACCACATTCAGCATCGTAATTCTAGAACTACTCTTTTTACCTTTGTTCTGTCTCCCTTTCAAATTAATCTAATTAATATGGTAGGTTGTTATTTAGCTACTAAACATTACAAACAGAAATCTATGACAAATTTTAGAAATATACTCTGAGTAGTTCTTTTTTAAACAGATATGTAAATTAGCAGATAAATTGGTTCACATTATTTTAAACTGTAGATGCCTTAGCAAAATTTATTCATGCATTTTGCTTTATTTATTTCTGTTAATGACCTTTCACCCTAAAGTGGTTCTTCCTCTGGGCATTTATGCTGCCGAAACAGTGTTGTATTACTCCATGCCAAGCTTGCCCAAAGTAACTTGAAGCCTGCAGACAGATTTTAATAAAATGAAAACATGTTTTCCCCCAAGAGGTCCTATTTTAAATTGATTTAACTAAAGCCATCACTTTAAGACTACAAAAATAGGTAACCTCGTTAAAATAAAACAACAGCTAAAGGTATTTTAAAGCAGACTGACCAGGTTAAAAAGTCTGGGGTATTAAACTAATCTACAGTGAACACAGATACACGTCATTGCTAAGGCAGCCCCAGTTTAGGAACATCAGGATGTCAGGGAAAGATGGTAGTGAGCATCTATTGAGCAGTTTCCATTGTGCGTCCTGGATTACTAGAACATGATACAGTCAGACTCTAGAGTAACACTGCTCAAACCAGACCAAGAGTTGTTTACAATACTTTAGGCAATCTGGAACTTTGCAATTTCAACAATGGCATCAACTGACTAGAACATTTTCAGTAATGTAATCACAGTGATTTATCACTTCATACAATGTGTCTGTAGCTTATATACAGTCTACCACTGACCCCTTTTATCTCATCCTAACTGAAATAATGAATTTGTGGTCTTGGTACCACTCTGTATTAAAAAAATTACAAAGCAGGTTTTTAGAGTTGAAAAAAACTTTACTTCCATGGACCACTTTGTTTTATTATCTACCCACAATCATTACCATTCTGTCTATTCCTAGCTCCTGATTCCTCGGTCTTACCCTTGTCTTCACAGCTTTTTTAAATCATTGCCTATTTATGTGCCCTTTGTGTAGTTACTGACACATCTTTGAGACTAACATCTGTTTCCCTTCTATGTTGGTTCACTCACCTCTAGGCTACGTTAATGTTCTGACTGTTCATTATCCTGATCTACTTTTGAATCCACACTCCCTCTCCTTGATCATTTCTATCTTGTTGAAATCCATATTTCACTTCTAAGATCAGCTTTCTTCTATGCTGTCCTAATGAAATTGCTCTGCACTTTTTTACATTAACTGTTTGGCCTTGTTTCTCTGTAAAAAAAAAAAAAAAACTCCCTCTTTGAGAATTACCAATAACATTGGTCTCATCCAAACCTTTGCTTCAAGGTCCTAGAAACATGCAGTTACTACAGCCAAACTTTTCATTTTCCACTAGGCTGCTCTACTTTATTAATACCCCCGCTTCTTCTTTATTTTTACTGTAGTACTTGGCTGTTTAACTTGTTCCCTATGAAAGGCTGTCTTCCTCCAACATTTCCACTAAAAATTCTGATTATTGAGAAGTTTACCTAAATTTTACTTCTCTTTTCTTTTATTTTCTAATTTATGTATTCACTGTATCACTGATGAGCTGAAATCAAGTATAATTACTAATCTTTTTCAACTAAAAAGTTCAGAGCACACACACACACAAAAATGTAGAATAAAAGAAAAACCCTAATAAATGCTGGTTCTATTTCTTATCTAGTTTAAGCCTTATAATCCAATGACTCTGTTCAAATTGAATTCTCTCTATGTATTACCAGAAGCATCCATCACTGTCTATAGAGACACAAGTGATAGGAGGCAGAAAAAAAGGCAGAAGGTATAGATATATTCCATGTATATACTAAAATCATGCATTGCCCAAGACTTACCTCATAAAAGTAAACTGCTCTTCTTTAAGGGCACCGAAGTGGGTTTTCTCCCAAATCAGTGATTTATTAGCGGCTTTATACAGCTAAATATCAAAACCTTAGAACCCAGGCTTGATTTTTCAAAGTGAGTCTTATGCTGTAAAACTGAACACTCCACAGGAATAAATTAAGAGGAAAGCTAGCACTGAGTCTTGGGTCTGAGAAAGACCCTAACAGACTTCTCTCAAATGGTAAAACAGGGAAAGGGAGACCCTGGGCCAACCACTGTGGTAGGGAGTGGTACACAGAGGAAATGAGGGCGGGATCAGGGAAAAGGGGAAAAAAAGGAAAAATAAAACCAGAAGATGTCTATGAACCAATGATGACATGGGCCAAGATCTAAGATAATTAACTCAACTCTCTATAGCTGAAGACAAAACAAACCCAAAAGGAACTCCTGAGAAGCAACATAGTGTGTCCTCCACTAAACCCCAGAGAAAATAATACACCACTAAAATAGTTCTGATACACAACCACAAGTGACATGTTTATCAGTCTTTAGGATTAAATAAGCAACACAAAAAAGATTTACCCACATAGTAAGGAACACTTTAAATCAGAGACAGTTACAGTGGCACAACAGAAGAAACACCTGTGTAAGTCCTCTTTCTACTATCCTGTCTTATCACTGCAGATATCCAGGCAGAGAATAAATAGTCAAATCAATGATGACCAAAAGACATCCTTTAATTTGGCGTCTGGCCTCCATTGCTTCTCGGGTCTCTTTGCTCCAAAAAAGTAAATTATATAACTTTATACAGAAAACAATCTAGAATAAAAAGAAATACTCTCTCTTTCTAGCCAAAATTTAATTTTCTATTGTTCTTATTATCCTTTCCACTACCTATTCCACATGGAGATGAAAACTTTAAATCCTAGAAATAATGGTCAGTTCACACTAACAGACTAAAAAATTGAGAATGTTCCTTAAGAATGAAGGCTAAGGCTCAGTATTACAATGTCACTTACTGTCACTACAGAAAGATACCTGTGGTTTCCTTAGAAGTCACAGAATATTTAAGAGTCAGAGGTTAAAAAGGAAAAGCATTAGATTCATGGACAGAGATTACCTTGAACTGGTGTAAACTGTATCAGTTGGAAAAGAGTATTTGTAAGACTAATTCTTCTTAACAATGCTGCCACTGAACTGAGATTGGTGTATCATGTTTCAAATACCTGTTTTCCTTAGGATTGTAGGTTTGTGTATCAGCATAGGTGATTCCCATTTGCCTACTTCGACTGGTAGCTAGTTACAAGAGGTTGAGACCCCATTCTATGAAACATGATGCTTTCTTTTAAAGTAGAAACAATATACTTTTAGTCAAACAAACTAATACTTAGTTGTTCTTTAAGCCATCTTGATTATTCCAGACAATCGGTCATACCTGGAAAGACAATTCTGAAATGGGCAGAGCCCTCAAATGTTCTCCAACTAAATGCCTGCTTTTCTTTTCTTCCCTTACCTGATAATGAGCCTGGGCTTGCTGTGCTGAGTTCAAGGTGACATTGCAGAGTTTGCAGTACAGGGGCTTACACAGCTCCTCCAGGGCAGAGTCTTGCTCCCCTCCTTTAGGTAATTCTTCTTCCCCTGCCAGAGGCAAGGAAGTCTCCTGCCCAAAAGCCTTCTGTGGCGGAAGCTGCGTTCCTGTAGACCTGGCAGCCACTGACATAGGAGGAGAGGATGAGGGCCGCTTAGGTGGAGGAAGCCCTTCGTGTTGCAAGAGGATCATTGGGTAGAAAGGCCTTAGGCATAATCCAATGGACGGTGAGAAGTTGGTTCTTCAAATCTGATTCAACAGCAAAAAAATAAACACTTCAAAAGTGACCTCAGCAATTTAATATGCAAATGAACACACCATCTGACCCCTTCCTCTACTTCTCCAAACCATCTTTGGGATTTCTTTCTTTTTGCCTCATCTAGCAGACTTCCCCAGTCTGTTAATCCACATTAATGCAATGCTCTTCCATTAAGAACAGTTTTATAGATTTGGCTTTATTTTGCTTGGCACAGCTCCAACTGCAGTGTCCCTCTGGCCTATGAACATTAATAGCATTGCATCTATAGCTAATTAAATCTAAAGTCACATGGCTGAAATGGACATCAAAGGTCACCTAGTCCAGACCCCTTCCCTCTGACACACTTACACTTATACACTCTTGATAATCATGCACAAAGGCACCATTAGCTGAGAACCTTAGCAAATGTCTCCTTTCCATCCAAACTAGTCTCTCCATTCAAATGATGTCAAAAGAGTGACATAAAGAGTGTCCTTCCTCAGAGTCACTGAAGTACTTCTAGAGCCAGTAAAAATATCAAGGAACTCTTGGAATATTTCAAAGTTATAGTATGACAAAAATAAAGTATTCCTTCTGATCAACCAGTAATATTAATAGTTGAATGAAAGATTTCTCACAGCAGAAGTTACAAACACTCTATAGGCCACAAGCAGCCACAAGATGTGCTCTATTTGGAATAGAGTATATTGTTTTGCTTTCATTTTGAAAATTGAATTAATCATCAACATTTAAAAATCAAGAGATTCATGGCTTCTCTTGACAGAAGGATGATCTGGCACCACTTGGCATATGGTCCCACAGAGGCAACAATTATATCGTTAGTGCTGAAAGGCCCATTTCCCAGGTCCCTTCTTCAGGTCACCTTCACCCCCACTCAGTCACTGCCTGATTTCACTTTACCTGCTGGTTCCCTGTAGGCCCTTGAGTTTAGGTCTCAACCTCATACAGCCTTCGACTACAGTCATGAGTCCCCTATAAAATCAGAATATTTTTCTCTCCCTCTCTACAGAAGGTAAATTACCTGCACAAAGTAATGTATCAGTACATATCCAATGGGATAATGGATCACACTACCATAAGCCCCAGTATAATTCCAGTTCCTCAGTTTTTCGACTATTTCCTTTCCCTTTCTTTTTAAACAACTGATAGTCTCTAGTCTGTTTCCCTCAGAAAAGACCCAATATGTTCTAATTTCTCTTCAGTTTTATCCATGATTTCTCCTGCCTCCCACCCAGATGGCATCTTCTAAACTTGAGTATCTCAAATGAACCACAGTACACGCTTTCAGTTCCCAGAATTCTAATTAACCCGAATTAAAATCCTTATTTCAAAATCCACTATTCCTTCCACTCTCTCAACAGTATTAAAACCTCTTGTGTTGGTCAATAGGATAGAGCTATTTTAAACTACTGAAATTTTCCATCTGCAATAGAAATGTGTTCATTTTATGACAATAATATACTCAAATTAACCAAGAAATTTTTGAAAACTTAAAAGTCTCTTTTACCACACGCATGTGGAAAATTCAATGAAGTAAAAACTTTTAAACTAAATTCAGGATCTGAGGGCAGCAAAGGAAATAATGTAAATAAGGGCAAACTACATAAATTAGTTGTCATAGTATTTAACATTACTTCTTATTAATCACAGTATTTAGAAAATCAATAATTTTATTTTATTCTTAAGCAGATTTATGTTATCCATATCTCTGGGAACATAAAGAAAAGCAAAACAGATTTAGAACTTTTGAAAAGTCAGGTTCTCTATAATCTTATAATTCCTCCCAATTATCTCAAAGATATCCAGAAAAACTTAGATATAGATATTTTAAAAAGGAAAACTAAAGAGACAAAGATCACTTTTTTTTTAAGTTTAACTACCTAATTATAATATTCATAATATTAAAAGACTACACATACCCACACCTAGACAGAGATGGACTAATATCAAATTGCCACAAACAAACTGGCATTTGGGAAGAGAAATGGTGGAAGAGACTGTCAAAACATCTAGATAAAGCAAATCAACAATATAAACAAAATCAAATGCTACCAATTGCCTAGACATGTCTGGACTTGTCTCATGAAAGCTCACTCCTGCTTGAGGGAATTACAGCACATATCTCCCCCAGTGTTGCCCACAGGTTTCCATCAAAATAAACGCCCTCCTCAAGGCACAGAAGTACCAAAGGCCTCCCCCTTTCCAGAGATAATAAAATTCCCTGAATTCAAGAAAAAATTCTCACCACCAAGTCTGTGACGTCCCCCTCAGACTTCCCCATTATGGCATTTTACCTTGTTAATTTTTAAAGAATAGCTAGATATTACAAAATTATTTATTGAAATACTTTACAATGAATTGATAATGTCAACTCCCAAAAAGAATCTGCATGACAATTACATCAGGTATTTCTGTCCTTGCAAACAAAAATGAGCATAAAATATAAATTTAAAAGACATAAAACAAAGCTTTCAGTGGAAGCAAGCACGGTGGAATACACAGACCCAAAGCATATGCAACTCAGATCCATTCAACTACTGCATTAGATTAAAAGAAACTAACTTGATGGTTGATGTAAATAAAATACTCCTCAGATCTTAAAAAACAGTTTGACACTTGATGTGGCATAAATAAAGGATTTATAGTGGTTAATGTCCTGGTTTGGAAGGGGTTGAGGGGACAAATAAAGAAAAATCAAAGGTTTGTGGTGTACCCTGTACAGAGAAAACGAATGATTACAGCTACTTTTCATGATTACACTGGGGCCTACACATCACATACTGTATTAACGACAATCACTTTCTCATTTGGAGAAATCTACAGAGGGAAGAGAACAGTATAAAGGAACAGGTTACTGGCACCTCTGCAAACTAGGGAACTCTGCATAGTAATTGGGAATTCTGGAAATGAGGGAAAGACTGTGAGCATTATTCAGAGGTCAGAAGAACGCAGAGAGGACTGAAGGAGAGAAAAAAAGAAAAATAATCATCTGAGGCAAGGTATATCACATCAGGAAGACTCAAAAGAACGCAAGAATCTGGGAAAGAAGAGGCCCCGGTGAATTGGCGAATGTTTTCCAAGCTCAGCTATGACGGTCCCTAATCCTCGGGAACCGTTTACATATTTGAATCAAAGCTACATCTACTTCGGGATGGCCACATATACCCTGCATTCCTCAGACGTGCATGCATACACACGAGCGCGCACACACACGCACCTCAATCCCGTAAGGATGCCATCACGAAAGATGGAATCCCGCGTCTCCACCGGGCGGGGGCGAGAGCCAGGGCCGAGGCAGCTGCACGCCTAGACGATCCAAACGGTACACGTGAAATGCTTTAAAGCAAACATAAATAAAAGCCGCGCAAGCCTGTCACGTGGAGGGCAGACGGAAAGACGGCATTAGAAAGGAGCCGCTAGTCCCCGTCGCTCCCGGGCTCGTCCTTAATGCCCCAAGGCTCCCGACAGCCCGCACTTACCGGAACCCCCGGGACGCGCCGGGAGTCTGGGTGCCGCGTCCACCCGGGACGCCCGCCGCCGTCTGCTCCGAGTGCCCGGCTCGTCCCGGCTCAACTCCGCCTCTCTCGGCGCAACTTTCTCGGCTGCCCCCAGCCGAGCACCCCCTCCACCGCAGCTGAAGGCTGACTGTCAAAAGTCAGTCCAACCGGACCCACAGGGAAACAGCTGCAGGAAGTGACTGCGGAACCGGGAGGCGGCGGAGGAGGAGACTGAAGGCGCCGGCTCAGCGTCGCCAGTGCGCATGTGCTCGGCGGCGGCGGCGGCGGCGGCTGAGGCTCCCGCATTCTGGGTGCGCGCGGGGCAGGTGGGGTACAGCTTGCGCAGAGGTGCTGGGCAGAGGTGGGAAACACTGTGGTGAGTCAGACGGGAGTTGCGCCACCGCCAATCCCATCGAACAGGTCCTAAGAGATGCTCATCATATACCTTGGAAAGTTGATCCAGCGCGGAAGCCTGGGCAGAGCTTCTGCAATTTTCATCTCCTGTCATTGAGATCTAAACCTTTTTCATTCCAGCTCCGCCCTCAGTCCGCTGGTTACCGGTTAAAGACCTAACACATTGTCCAGGATCCCTTAAACGGCTGCGACAGAACCTTTAAATTGCGCCTCTCCCCAAGATAGAGGAAGAGCGAGACCCCCTGTTCAGTGGTCTGTGGGCTCACACACGCCCTCTCCCCTACACTAAAGTGAGCAAGAGATAGAGAAGATATGCTCCTGACCCCTGGAGACTCACCTGCAAGGCAGGAAAGACCAGGAAAAGATTGATTGGCTAAGGCCAGAATGTCACATCCTCTCATTCAACCTCGACACCCTCAGGATTGACACTGTGGGATGAGCTGAGGAAATTTCAGCTCTAAAATTACACTAATTTGTCGATTTTCGCATAGGAAGTTTCACTGGTTATTTTTTTTATTGTGGTAAAATATACATACATTTACCATTTTCACCATTTTAAGTGTACAGGTTGGTGCCATTAAATGCATTCACATCATCGTATGCTTATTTTTTAACCATTAGTAAAAATGTCAAGGAGATCTAAATATAGCAAGATGTGCCCTAGTAGTGGGCAAACTACAGCAGGAAATTAATGTTGTTTCTATGAAACACACCATCCAATACTACTACCAACAAACTAGATTGACTCCATAAAAGACTTCATAAATACAATAATTGTTTAACAATCATACACACACAACTAATGTACGCAGGCCATTTGGGAAGAGTAATCCCTCATGCTTCGGTAGAACATAGAATTTTTCTGAATTGGTTCTCCAACTGTTTATGTATATATACTTTATGTGTCAATTTTAAATGGACACATTGATTTTAAAATAATAAATACTATCAAAATTCACTCTCCAGACCTTTTCCTGCATGGTCTTTAGCCACTTCACAGTCACATTCTTTAGCTAGCAACACAACTGGGCCCTGGTTTACCTTTCCAACATGACCTCCCATCAATCTCCTAAGCATTGAATGAGTCACTCATATTTACTCCATCCATGCCACTCACTTTCCTGCCTCTGTGATTTAGCTCCATCTTCATCTTGAGTGCAAAATGCTTTTTCTCCCCTATCCCTGCATTCCAAAATCCTATCTATCTTTTGAAGCCTCTTCTTTGATGAGCTCCCATAGCACTTCCTCTGAACAGCTTAATGGCACACTTAATATTTGTTGCCTCATACTATAGTTACTTAAAGAGGTGACTAACCTGTGCTATAAACACCTTAAGTGCAAGAAGGATACATGTCTTGGAGTTCTGAAATTTTATATTTCAGTGTTTTATGCAGTTTTGTATATCAGGATGAAAATCTGGAATATTAACTGAAGTACCCCACCCTCTAGCTCTGCACACACACATACATTTCCATGTTCTCTACTCCTGGCCTTAGACTTTTTCCAGACAGCTAGGGCATTTCCTTCCCTGCCTCAGGGAGAAAGAAGAAAGCAATTCCTAGATGTTTGTCTAGTAGACATATTTGAAGTTCATGATAATGACAATAGTCTCATAACTCAGAGGTTTGGTTTGGAATAGCAGTACAAATGATGTATTAGCTTTGCTGTAAAATCATACAACCCCAAAATCTCCATGGCTTATGGTCACAAAGATTTATGTCTTGCTTATATTACATGCTGTGGGTCAGCTCCATAGGTCTTCTTGTTTCAGGTCCCAGGATCAAGAAGCTGCCCCTATGTGGGGCTTGGCGATTCCTATAGCAAATGGAAGGAGCCAGAGAGCTAGTGGAAAGAGTGAGGCCTCTTAAAACTGCTTTTCCAAAGTGTCATGACATGTCCACTCAAATCCCATTGGCCAAAGCCCTACATGTGGTCAAACTCCCAGTGAATGGAGAAAAAGTTTACTGTTTTCATAGGCAAATCACATGGCAGTGCTTATGGATTACAATGAGAAGGGGGGTTATGGGTGGTGGCCAATTGTAAATAGCAATTCAGTCAGCCATTAACACAGGGAAACCAATCTTCTCACCCTAGAGATGTTTGGTGTGTTCTCCACGAAGGGCCTTATACTTCCCCCCACCATTCCTGGGATTAGTGTGAAAGAATCCATGGGCATAGAAATAATAGAGCCCCCAGATACGTTTCAAGAGTTGAGGAGAGAGGAGGTCTGAGCTCTATTCCTAGAGGAACTCAAGATCCTAAGATTTTTCTTTGATAAACCAACTGACAGCAGCATGTTAGCATGAATTATTCAGTCATGAAGAGCCAGAGGAATGCCTCCAAACTGTTCTTTATTTAGTATTTATGGAATTAAAGACCACTCAAAGGGGCTGAGAGAGGACTGTAGATGGTTGAAGGACTTAGAGGTAGGAATGAGAAAGGACTAAGTTGAGTACATTGATTGGTGATCCAAAAGCAATGGAGAAGTGCATGAATTTCTGAGACCAAAGCCAAGGGTGTTTACAACTGATAACCACTTCCTTCCCTTACCACCTACCTCCCCACCCTACCCTACCCTCTACCCCCTCCAAAGAATTTAGAGGCCACCCTCAGAAGAACAAGGGGGAGTCAGATCATTATAAAGTGACTACATTTTAGTGATTTGGGGACAGGAGAAATCTGTAACAGAAGTTCATGTGGAATTGGCTAAATTAAGTTTTCTGTCCTTAGAAAGAGCAAAATCTCAGCACTGAGATTATTTTTCAATTTTTTTTCAAATATTTTCCTTTTTTTTTAATAATTTTTTGTACTCTTGAACTTTATGACCTGACATAGCATAACTAGTATATTTGCATCACCATGGTTAATTGAATAAATGGATGAATGAATAAATGAATGAATAAGGTATTTCTGTTCCCTCCCCTCTCTAATAGGGATTATAGTGCCTGACAGTTGTACTTCCTAGGAATGTTGTCTCTTTGGTGAAACTATTACGTGGGATACTCTGAATTTATCAGGAGAAAACTCTCATATTAAAGCAAGGATAATTAGTTTTCATTATGCTAGATCCCATATTGAGAAAATCTACATTTTCTGTTCGTTTATTTACCATGAAGATGGTTATACACTTTTGGTGTATACACTTGAACCTTTTGAGAATCTAAGCCAGAAATTCTCGTGCTGCACTCAAAATCAGAATGAAGAGAAACGCTCATTCTTCGCCATGGACTCATGCAATTTGTTAGGTCAGATCCCATCTGGAATGTAAATTTACATCATCTGTTGAAACTCCACACACATCCTTTACTTTCACACCCAGGCTATGACACATCACATTTTCCAGATCTACTTTCTCTTAATCATCAAAGAAAGCCTCCAAAATTCTTTGTCTCTGACACCAGTCTTTGCTTGTCAACACAATCCTTCCTCTAAAATAAAAGCATAAATCCTTCCTTTACAATACAACAGAAATCTTAAATCAAGTAAAATAACCTCTCAGGCATTTTAATAACACTTTAACATTTTTAACTTGAAAATAAAATGTAGAGGAATAATGGGAAGACGGCAACAGCAGTGGCATTTTTTAACCTCCCTGAATTCTCTGATTTAAAAAGTAGAAAAAGTAAGCAGCAAAACCAAAAGTATGCAGACTGCTACTACAGTGAAGTCTCCCCACAACCCCGAAACATAAGCGATGATAGGGAAAAACCATCAATAGTTACCAAAGCTGTGTGGTATCAGCAAGAGAAAGCAGAGTAAAACAACAGGGCAACCGAGAGACCGAGAATACCAAAGTAGCTGATATAGACTCACTGGAAAGCTCAAGGCCAGTTTGGCAACAGCAGCTGAAATAGAGCACAGCTTTGCACATTCCAAGGCAGATGCATGCAATGGGTGCATGGTGAGTTCTAAAGGGACTACAGCAGTTTGGGGCCTCAACCCTCTCAGAGCTAACTAACCCAAACTCCATTCCCAAACTCGGAAGAAAATGCTGGCAATAGAATCCAAATGATAAGATAAATAGGAAAGAGAAGATCCAGAATAGAAGGATCCAGGAGATCTCGGAAAGTAAGCCAGCACCCTAGTGAGCATTACCAATGAAAAGAGAAGAGTGAGCTCAAGTGTTCAGAAGTCAGAAAAGTATATTAAACCATCCAACCTTTAGGTTATGCTCAAACCTAGAGTCAACTGCCAGCCTGCAAAAAATACGGAGGGCAGAGAAGTGTGTTAAACTATTCTGTAGGAATGCACTCACTTTTAAAAGCTAGGCTATAGGACCAATAACCTGATTTCTTCAACAATTAAATTATACTGTCAGAGGGGGGCTGGGAACAAAGGAAGAGATTTTTTTAAGTCTTTAATCTGCAGGTTAACATTTCCCTCCAGGAAGAAGAAATCTCTGTAGAGACAGGAGCACCAAGATCAAGAGAAGATTGATGCTGCGGCTCACCAGTCAGCTGAGGAAGGAGCAAATCCACCCTTTCTCCACTCTCCTGTTCTATTCAGTCCTCACTGGATTGGATAATGCCGACCCACATGAGGAGGGCAATTCACATTCACTCAGCCTACCAATTCAAATGTTAACCTTTTCCAGAAATACCCTTGCAGACAGCCTGAAATAATGTTTAACCAGATGCATGGGCATATCATGATCCAGTCAAGGTAACACATAAAATTAACAATAACAGCATGTGAGATAATGAATGCTATTGTAAGCCACTAAATTTTGGATAATTCATTGTACAAAGATAATTATCATAAGCTCCACCTTTTTTTAATT